ATTTCTTGGGCTATGGACTAGTGGGGGCATACTTGTAAAGGCAGTAATCCAGAGATGGAGGCAGGAGGATCAGGGGTTCAAGGTTAGCTTCTGCTACATAGTAAGTTCCAGGCTAGTCAGGGTTGCATGAGACCCTGTTTAAAAAAAAAAGCCAAGCTAAGGTGGGTTGGCAAACCCAACACTCAGGAGGCATCAACAGATGGAGCTCTGTGAGTTCAAGGCCAGCCTGATCTACATAGTAAGTTCCATGCCAGCCAAGACCTTGTCTCAAAAAACAATCCCTTCTCTGCTATTTTTATTAAAGTCAGGGGCAGGGAGATGGCTCAGCTGCTAAGACATCTACTTAGCACATGCATGCACCTAGCAGGAACAAAGCCCTACGTTTAATACCAGTATCTCCAAAAAACAAAACATTTCTCTGGGCTGAGTCTGTAGCTCAGTAGTTTAGCACTTGCCTGGCATACACACATACAAGAAGCTCTAGGTTCAACAACACACACATGTGCACACACACACACACACACACATGTGCACACACACACACACACACACACACACACACACACACACACACGCACCCTCATGTGAGCACACATTCACCCACACCCGTGTTTGTCTGTGTGTTCTCTCTCTCTCTCTCCTCTCTGATTTCTCTCAATAAAAGCAAGTAAGTAGAACTTCATGAAAGAACCATGAGGTGGAGGCATATGGATCAGGAGTTCAAGGCCATCCTCTGCAGCATAGGGAATTCCAGGCCAACCTGGACTACATGAGACTCTATCTGAAAAACAAAACAAAACAGTGACAGGGGTGGATGTAGGCATTTGGGTATCCCATACTCCAAGGAATCCTGCACCAAAATAGAAAACACCTAACTCAAAGGATCTCACTTCATGGGTCCTAGATTTAAATTTTCACACACAAAGCTAGGCTTAAACAGTTCCTATACAGAAATCTCTATATTGAGAACTCATGATTCTCATAATTGAAAAGAGGCCTCACAGACCCGCAGGAGATAAGGAGCTTGAGGTACTTGGAATAAGTCAGTGGCATTTGGTTTTGTTTAGTTAAATTCTCACTATGTAACCCAAACTGGCCTTGAACTTGTGATCCTCCTGTCTCAGTGTTCCTGGTACTGGGGGATACCGAAGGGTGTCACCACACCCCACACAAGAAACTACTTTATGAATCAAGATCTACTTCTGCTTGAGCTTCCTCACAGTATCCAGTATAGTGATGCAGTAATTTAAAATGTAGCCAAGCACAGTAGAGTCTGTCTATAATCCCAGCACTTGGAGGACCAAGAGCTCAAGAACATTCTCAGCACAGAGAAATGTGAAGCCAGTCTGGGCAAAAAGAAATTCTCAAAACCAGACAAGCCAGGCTGTGGCTGCACAGGCCTTTAATCCCAGAACTCGAGAGGCAGAGGCAGGCAGATCTCTTGAGTTCAGCATCAGCCTGGTCTACAGAGTGAGTTCTAGGACAGCCAGGGTTACACAGAGAAAACTTATCTAGAAAAGCAAACAAACAAAAAACTAAACTGTAGACTATGAAGTAGGCCTGATGCAGGTCTGTAATCCTTACAACTAAAGGGTAAATTAGGAGAATCAAAGGTTGAAGATCTGAACCAGGTGTGGTAGTGCTCATACCTTTATCCCTAAAGGAGGCAGCAGAGACAAGCAGATCTCTGAGTTCAAAGTCAGCCTGGTCTACACAGTGAGTTCTAGGCCAGCCAGGCTTTATAATACGACTCTGTCCCAAAAAAGTAAAAATAGTTGAAGACTTGTTTCAGTATAGTGTTGTAGAATATTATTTTAAGGTGTATTACTTTTGTTTATGTTGCATTTGTTTAACAATGCGAAGCTGTGTTACTGTGCCTGTCTAAAACACCTGATGGTCTAATAAAGATCTGAACGGCCAATAGGGAGGTAGGAGAAAGGATAGGTGGGGCTGGCAGGCAGAGAGAATTAATAGGAGAAATCTGGGAGAAGGAAGGAGCCAGAGAAGGAGGAGGACTCCAGGGGCCGGCCACCCAGCTACAGAGCTAGCCATGGAGTAAGAGTGAAAGTAAGATATACAGAAGGAAGAAAAGGAAAAAAGCCCAGAGGCCAAGGGTAGGTGGGATAATTCAAAGTTAGGGAAAGCTGGCAAGAAACAAGCCAAGCTAAGGCCGGACATTCATAAGTAATAATAAGCCTCCATTTGTGATTTATTTGGGAGCTGGGTGGCTGGGCCCCCAAAAGAGCAAAACAACAATAGTACATTGAGTTCAAAGTCAGACTGCATACTTTAGTAAGACCCTGCCTCAGGAGAAGTTCTGGGGATCCGATGAGTGACAGAGCACTTGCCTAGCATATGTGAGGCCATCAGTTCAGTCTTCAGAACCACAAAAAATAGGGGGGCTATGAAGCCAGATGGGAAGGAAGGCTCACTGGTAAAGGTGCCAGCTGCCGAAGCCTGGCAACCTGAGTGCAGTTCCTGGAAAGCACACAATGGTGGAAGGAGAGAACTGACGTGACAGAGTTGTCCTCTGATGTCCACATCACACTGAGGCAGGCACACACACACACACACACACACACACACACACACACGCACACACACACACACACACACACACACACACACACACACACACACTAATTTTAAATAATTTTTTAAACATTTCATGTACATTAATTTTTTTTTTTTTTTTTTTTGCCTGCATGTGTGTCTGTGTGAGGGTGTCAGAGCCTCTGGAACTGGAGTCACAGACAGTTGTGAGCTGCCATGTGGGTGCTGGGAATTGAACCCGGGTCCTCTGGAAGAGCAGCCAGTGCTCTTAACCCCTGAGTCATTTCCCAGGCCCAACATTTTGTTTTGTTTTTACTTTGTTTTTCAAGACAGGGTTTCTCTGTGTAGCCTTGGCTATCCTGGAACTCACTTTGTAGATCAGGCTGGCCTTGAACTCACAGAGGTCCGCCTGCCTCTGCCTCCCGAGTGCTGGGATCACAGATGTGCACACCCAGCAGCCCAACAATTTTTAATAGTAGACTCTGAAGCAAGTTGTTGCCACCATAGTGCTAAGCCACTTCCTAGTTCAGTGGTCTCTGTTAAATTTCTTGTCTCCACACCTCAGTCTCTCCATTATATTACATACTAGTATGTAATATAATACTTACTACATAGGATTTATTGCAAGACTTGGGTTAATGCAAATAAAGTGCTTAGACCAGGTACACGTCATAAAGTGAGAGTTGAATACACGTTAACCATCGTTACTAGCCATAGTCACGAACCACCTGGGGGAACCTCAGCTGGACTTGGAGTCTGAGCATCCAGCTGGAAAGGCCTGTCTGGGAGTGTCTTCTGAATGTGATTTGCATAACGGTTGAGGGCCACCTGACGTCAAGGGCTTCTTGAAGTTCTAGGTCAGTGGTAGCCTTGGAAATGCTTCCAGCAGCAAGGCAGCCCTACGGCCTCACCACCAACCCTGCTTCCGACTCAGCTGCCGAAGCACCAGGAAGTGAAACAGTTGAAGCCCCGTGCCTCCCACTCACCCCATCTATCTCATCCTACCTCCACTTCCTTGTCTGTCTTTTCACCTCTCATCTCCTAGCTTTTAGGACTCTCAGGACGGTGACCAGAGGCAGCAAACGTGTAAGAGACACTGCACAAAATAGAGTGGGCTCCCCTATGCGTCCCCCTCCCAGTTCCCTTATTCCATTCCTCCCTTCCTATGTAGACAAACCATTTCTCCCCCAAACTGAGCCAGTTCTAAGATGCTGGAAATGTTTCATCTAAAGGTAGGTAGATCCATCACAGAATCCTAATAATAACATGTGAACCAGAAGTTTCATTGGGCAGTCTAAAATCGTCCCAAAGGGTACTTGCTTCAGCAGCACATTACTAAAATTGGAAGGATACAGAGATTAGCATGGCCCCTGTGCAAGGATGACATGAAATCCATAAAGCATTTTATATTAAAAAAATAGACTTCAGGCAGTGGTGGTACACACCTTTAATCACAACACCCGGGAGGCAGGGGCAGGCAGATCTGAGTTTGAGGCCAGCCTGGTCTACAGAGTGAGTTTCAGGACAGCCAGGGCTACACAGAGAAACCCCTTTCTTTTTTTTTTTTTTTTTTTTTTTTTTTTTTTGGTTTTTCGAGACAGGGTTTCTCTGTGTAGCTTTGCGCCTTTCCTGGAACTCACTTGGTAGCCCAGGCTGGCCTCGAACTCACAGAGATCCGCCTGGCTCTGCCTCCCGAGTGCTGGGATTAAAGGCGTGCGCCACCACCGCCCGGCTGAGAAACCCCTTTCTTGAAAAACAAAAAGTCCTAAGGGAAGGGAGACCCCCCATTGAGAACATGCCTCTCAGAGGAAAAGTTAGCTTAGGAAGGCTTTGAGCGCCTTCCCTGTGGTCATCTACAGCCTCATTCTGACGTCCAAATTGTCCTGGGACCCTCCACTGGGGTTGGGGCAGTCCCAGCTTCAGACCACCCTCTCCTCCCACGTCCAACCTCACTCTCTCAGCTGCTTCCCTGGAGGTTGCATCATGGAGGGTGATGAAATCAGCCATCAGTGGATTTTACCCATGGATGCAATAGGCCGGAGGAGCGGCAAGGGTCACTGCCACTGTCAACCACCCAGAACCCCGAGCTACACGCTTCTAGCTATGGGGTAGGAACAGGGGCGGGGGCTGAAATGTTTCAGTTGGATTTCCAGTCCTTGGTTACACTGGTTCCCTGAAAAATCATTACCTAGACCCCACAGAACCCATGACAACCTTCGGCTAAGTGGAATGAAAAATCAAGCGGCTCTTAGCCAGCATTATCACCCCCAAAGTACCCTTTCCACAGTGAGGGCTGTACCCTTTCCACAGTGAGGGCTGTACCCTTTCCACAGTGAGGGCTGTACCCTTTCCACAGTGAGGGCTGTACCCTTTCCACAGTGAGGGCTGTACCCTTTCCACAGTGAGGGCTGTACCCTTTCCACAGTGAGGGCTGTACCCTTTCCACAGTGAGGGCTGACGTGGAGCTTACCTTGCCCTTACGCAGCATCTCAGATCACAAAGTATTTTCATGGTTACTGTCGCCTCCAAAACCAGGACCACCCAGTGAAAAGAACACCATTTCCCACGGAGGAAAAGAAAAGCCTCGATCTTACATAGAAGGTGTCACACAGGAACCAAATTTCATTTCAAACTGAGCTCACCATGGGATGTGGAGATGAATGAACGCTGTTTTGGTTTTTTCCTCAGGCGAGAGGAAGTGGGGAAATCAGAGTGGGATGAGGTAAGAATAAAGCCTTGAGAGGCAAAAATATCGGATTACACAGGGAGGGACTGGAGAGGGTATTAATTTGAATGTTCATCCCTTCCCCGCCCCTTCTGCAGCCATCTCTGTTCCTGGAGAGCGTGACACATGTGTCCCCTCCTGGGCCTCTAGCCACAGCAACCTCACCACTCATTTCCCCTGGAACCGAGGAGGCATACCTGGGCTCTCCACAGAGGGAGATGATGTCGGGAGGGAAATCCCACCTGCTCTGAGTCACCTGCCAGTGTAAAGGGCGGGCCTTACGATGCAGGGACCTTAAAAAGAGACTGCGAGACAAAGGGAAGAAAACAGGAAGCAGCTCAGGAACCGGACTACAAGAGTCAGAACAAAAGGAGGCCGGTGCAGAGTCCACAAGGCCCGGTGCAGGTCACAGAGCCAGCCGGATCTGAGAAGCAGGCAACAAGATGCTGGGTTGCAGAGCGGTACTACTGCTGTGGCTGCTGCCCTGGACCACTCAGGGCCTGGCTCTGCCTAGGACCAGCAGCCCCGACTGGGCGCAATGCCAACAGCTCTCCCGGAATCTCTGCACACTAGCCTGGAGTGCACATCCACCAGTGGGACTTATGGTAAGTGCCAGTTCCCGGAGCCATGCAGAAACCTTCCCAGGCCTTCTAAGTGTAGGTCTGATGTGAGCTGCGGCCCTGGGTGGAATCTGGAGGGCTGAAGGTTGTCGTGGAATGAGCGAGGACAGAAGACTGGGATTTCTGGGAGAGTCATGGAGCAAGGATCCATTGGAATGCAAAAGCACTTACGTTGTCTCATCTTGGCCCCATTGCAGGATACACTAAGAGAAGAAGATGAGGAGACTAGAAATGATGTCCCCCGTATCCAGTGTGGGGATGGTTGCGATCCCCAAGGACTCAAGGACAACAGCCAGGTACCACCAGGATGATGTTAGTGCATCTAGGAGAGGGGAGGAGTGAGCTGGGCCTCATAACTGACCACTCAGCTATGCCCGAGATGGCAAAGACCTGCTGTGGGCTTCAGGCCAGCCTGAGCTACACGTAGTAAGTTTAAGGCCATGGTCTGAGCCAGTGAGATGCTGTCTAAAGAAAGAAGAAAAGAAAAGCGGAGGACAGGAAGGCAGGACACTGGAAAACAGCGTTCATACGCTTTCTTCTTCCTCTAGTTCTGCCTGCAAAGAATCCACCAAGGTCTGGTTTTTTACAAGCAGCTGCTGGACTCAGACATCTTCACAGGGGAGCCTTCTCTGCTCCCCGACAGCCCCGTGGGCCAGCTTCATACCTCCCTACTGGGCCTCAGCCAACTCCTCCAGGTATGCACCGGGGATTTGGAGGATGGGGCTAGTCAGTGTCTAAGACAGAAGCTGGGAGCTTAGTATAGAATCCTTTCTGACTGTGTCTTGTGTCCTTTTAGCCAAAGGATCACCATTGGGAGAGTCAACAGATGCCTAGCCTGAGTCCCAGCCAGCAGTGGCAGCGTCCCCTCCTCCGCTCCAAGATCCTCCGAAGCCTTCAGGCCTTTGTGGCGATAGCTGCCCGGGTCTTTGCCCACGGAGCAGCCACCCTGACTGAACCCTTAATGCCATCAGCTTAAGTATGGCACCCAGGTTCCCAAGGCTCAGCAATGATAAGATTAATTTATCAACCCAGGCATCCATAAGCCAACAAGCTAACTGGTCCATTAGTAAGTACTATTTGTTGTTATTGTTTTGTTTGACGGGCAAGGACAATTTTATTAAAGAGAAAAACAAAAAACAGCCCAGAGTAGGTAGCTCTCTAGAGGAAGGAGATGGAGACAGAGGATAAGGTCATGCCCTTTGCCGTGGAAGCTGGCAAGCGGCTGCATGGTAGAAGGGGTGGGGGTGGGGGTGCACATCAGAGATACAGTGAGAAAGCCCAGGCTTTGGCCAGTATCTGCATGAGAAAGAAGAAAAAGGGCAAGTTGTACTTTCCTGAGTAACTGGGGGAAATGTGCAGCTCACGGTGCAATGGAAGCTCCGGTCTGCTTAGTCCCTGAGATCTAACAAATGACCAGTACGGACCGACTTGTGACGCTAACCTGTGACAAACTTGCATATTTATTAATCGGGAGGGGAGAGTTTGGTATTATTTATCCTTGTAACAGCAGTTTAGAGGATTGTTATTTATTATATTTATAAGGAATTATGTATTTTTTCCAATAAAGATTTATTTATGTGCCTGAGTCTCACTTGTGCTCTGATATCTCTGCCAGGCCGCGACCAAAGGTCTAAGAGTGTCCTGAGCTCTGAGTGGACACACTGCTTTGTGTTGAGTTCACTGAATGCCACTACAGTGGGCATCTCCACTGCCCAAACATGCTTGTTCTGTGTGTGTGTGTGTGTGAGTGTGTGTGTGCGCGCGCCATGCATGTGTGTATACATAGGTTCACTTTTGTGTGCACATGCATCATGGAGCCCAGAGGTTGATGTTTTTCTCAACACACACACACACACACACACACACACGGTCTCACTGTGTAGCCTTGGGTGACTTTGAACTCGACAGAGACCTGCCTGCCTCTGTCTCCCGAATTCTGGGGTTAAAGGCGTGTGCCACTTCACCCAGCTCTGTCCACTTGGTTGAGTCAGGGGCTCTCACTCGAACCTAGACTTAGCAACTGATTGACTGGACTCACCTCCCTAGTCAGCTTGCTCTGGGGGTCCTGGCTCTGCCTCCCAAGTGCTGGGATGACAGGTGAGGAACAATGCTCTTCCATTATTTATGTGGATGTTGGAACTCCAACCTCTGGTCTGCACACTTGCCCGGCAAGTTTACCTGCTAAACTCTCTCCAACTCTCCCGACTTCCATTTTAAAGTAGGGTTTCACACTAGCCTGTCTTGAACTTACGGCAGTTTTCCTGCCTCGGTGCTGTGAGCTGTCATTGCCTGCCTCAAATTTTTGGTGTTTGTTTTTTGAGATAGGATATTGCTATGTAGCCCTGGAACTCCTTGATATATTGACCAGAATGATGTCAAATTCAGAGCAATTCTCCTTCCTTGGCCTCCCAAGTGCTGGCATTACAGGTGTGCCACCAAGTCTGGAAATATTTTGTTTTTCAAGACAGGGTTTCTCTGCATAGTTTTGGTGCCTGTCCTGGATCTCGCTCTGTAGACCAGGCTGGCCTCAAACTCACAGAGATCTGTCTACCTCTGCCTCCCGAGTGCTGGGATTAAAGGTGTGTGCCACTGCTGCCCGGTCCATGGTGCACATCTTTAACCCCAGCACTCGGGAGGCAGAGGCAGGAGAATCTCTGTGAGTTCCAGGACAGCCAGAGCTACACAGTGAGACCTTGTCCCAAAACAAAACAACAAAGAAAAGTGAAGAGTGGAAGATGAAAAGATGTGGGGAGGTTAATGAGGAACGAGGCCCTGGATTTGAAAGAGAGCAAGAAGGGGCACATGGGAGGGTTTAGAGGGAAGAAAGGGAAGAAGGAAATGATGTAATTATATCACAGTCTCAACAAATGAAACGTAAAGGGAGATTGTTTTTTTCTTTTAAATAGGGTCTCACTAAGTAACCCTGGATGGCCTGGAACTTAATATACAGACCAGGCTGGCCTCAAACTGGTGGGGATCCTCCTGTGTCGTTCTCTCAAGGGTTACAGGTGTTCGCCACCACATCCTGTCTATTTCCTTTATTTCCATGGCCTAGACATCAAAGGACGTACACTCTGCCAGTGAGGTCCACCTGTAACCCAACACTCAGGTGACTGAGGCAGGTAGATCATGAGTTTATTGTCAGCTTGGACTATCACATGAAATCCTGTCTAAGAAAACCCACCCACCTGCCCACCAACCAGAGTCTGACTGTGGTGGTATGTAACTGTAATTCCAGTTCTGGAGGGCAAAGAGAGAAAGGTCACTGTGAACTCTAGGCTAGCCTATTCTACACTAGTTCCAGGCCATCAAAGACTCCATAGAGACCTTGCTGCCACAAAACAAAAAAATTAAGAAAGGTGCACATGGGCTGCGGAGTCAGATTCATGTTTATTTTTTAGAGTCATGGACTCATGTACCTGAGACTGTCCTGGAACTCGACATGTACCCTAGGCTGAGCCTTGGACTCCTAATCCTGCCTCTACCTCCTAAAAGCTGGGGTTATAGGCATGTGTCACCAGGCCTGGCCAGGTCCAGGTTTATGTCTTGACTTTGCCACTAACTAACTGAGTAATAATGGAAGCTTTGTCCGTGGAACAAAGATGGCCGCACCAACCAGAGGAGAGAAGGAATGTGACAAGGTTTGGAATGTACCGTAGTAGGCATGAGAGAGGTCACAGATGGATGACATTGCTGGCCCTAAGGAATTAGCTTTCAGGGACAGAAAAGCACAAGTGTTTGAAGAAGAGACACTTACACTGGTTTTTTGTTGTTGTTGTTGTTTAACAAAAGTTTATTATGGTGTATAAAAGACTCGAGACAATAGTTTATTCTAGCTATAGGTAGCAATGGGGAAAGATGATACAGAGGGAACAGAGGAACAAAGGAACGGAATGACGCGTTACCATCATCTCAGGCACAAGCAGTCTCTCTCTCTCTCTCTCTCTCTCTCTCTCTCTGTCTCTCTCTGGGTCCCACTATGTCACCCTGGCTGGCTCAAAACTCAGAAAGATCCACCTTCCACTGGAGCGCTGGGATTAAAGGCATGTATCACCCTGCCTGGTTTTGCCATTTTTCTTTTTTTTCTTCTGAGACAGGGTTTTCCTGTATAGCCCTGCCTGTCCTAGAGCTCACTTTGTAGACCAGGTTGGCTTTGAGCTAACAGAAATCTGCCTGCCTCTGCCTCCTGAGTGCTGGGATTAAAGGCGTGCGCCACCACCACCGCCTACCTTTGGCTGGATTTCTTAGCTTCCATCTGTTGGCTGGATTTCTTAGCTTCCATCATCTGTTGGCTGGATTTCTTAGCTTCCACCTTTGGCTGGATTTCTTAGCTTCCACCTGTTGGCTGGATTTCTTAGCTTCCATCTGTTGGCTGGATTTCTTAGCTTCCATCTGTTGGCTGGATTTCTTAGCTTCCATCTGTTGGCTGGGGCCCTTTCTCTTACGACTTTTGCTTTTAGCTCCCTGAGCTTCCTCTCTGCTCCTCTCTGTGTATCTTCCTTATCTAGCTCCTTGGTTTCTGGTTTGCTCACGCCACCTTCACGGCTGGACATGGCAACTGCTGTCCCCTCTCCCCACTGTTATTAACCCCTTCCTGAACAGGACTCTTCTTCTGACACACCAGGAAGGAAATGGTCACAGTAGGTGCCCTGCGTTCACTGACCACTCAGCTTAGAGGAGCGGCAGCTGCTTCCAGGTTGCCTGGCAATGGCTAAGGCAGAAGGAGGTCCAGAGGCCTCTGATAAACCTTCGAGGCCCTGAGGTCCTTGCTCAGGTCACGCCTAAGGGGCAGAAGCTTTGCTTTCACTGTTAACAAGGTATAAAAGCAGCAGTAACGAAGTATTAGTCAGACAGCTCAGAAGCAGCACTTCTCTCCAGACACTCGGTTCTACTCAGTACCATAACCATCAATTCCCGATGCTCAGAAACCTTACCACCCAGACCTCTAGGAGGGATTCTTTCCAGAACTGGGGAAGCAGAGATGAGGTTCCCTAAAATAGCAAAGCTTCACATCTTTGTAAGAGGAATAGGGTTATTTTGTAGGGGAGGAACTGAACAGGGCAGGGGACAGCTAGGAGGGATCCAACGTGCCATGCCCTTCCTCAGGATAGAGTTTCACAGGGTGGGCTGAAGCAGACAGCTCTCTGCCTCTATAGGAAAACGGGAGATTTAGAACTGGAGTCAGGAGCGAAGGGAGGAGAAGAGGAAAGGGTCAGGTTGGACCGGAAGTGAGGACTGGAGGACTTGGGGTATGGCTCAGTGCCGTCGTGGTTGCCTACCATGGGTGAGACTCTGGGTTTGGCAAGACCCAGGATAGCAAAAGGAGAGGAAGAGCAAGACTCCACCCATCTCTGTGCTCTCCGCAAAGGCCCAACCATGGTTCATACCAATTTAGCCTTACCGATCATCAAACCATTAAAATCCTTCCATACTGGAAAGACATCACTGCCTTGGACCCTCTGATAATCTCCCAAATGTCCTGGCTTGCCGTCAGGGCCTCTGTGTCTCCCAGCATGGCAGGCAGCCTCAAGGTTCTAGTTAAGACTATGGCCAGTGTCTGTTCTGATTCATTGCTGCTCCTTCAAAGCCATCTTATACTTTCACCTATTACTCCAAAGTTCACGGCTAACCCAGCTCAGAAGGCCTCATTTCCCGCTGTTGGAAGCAATGTCCTGGTGTGGGAGGTCAGAGGGACCAAACGGGAACATGGCTCCTAGTTATCTGAAGGAATCAAGGGTCCATCCACATCGAAATGGCTTTGGCGGGATATGCAGGCTTCATCGATGACGTTCTGGCCAGCCAACAGCGGGTCATCACGGGGCATGATATCATCAATATTTACGCTTTCTCTGAAGACTAGACCACACAGAGAAAAATGTCAGGTCCTGATCCAAGTTGGAAGCTCCCAGCTCTAGCAGGAAAGGCACAATCTGGGGCTGAAGGGGCTCTTGGGAAACGGAAGAAGAGGGTGGGACATGGGAGACACCTGCGTTTCCTAACATAAGGCATCACCAGGAGATGAAGGAGGAACTTGGAGCTCACCTTCTGGTAACGGGTCAGAGAGAGGTAGCTAAGGTGTTCCCATCTCGCCCCGTCAAGCCTTATCACTTTCTTTCCATACCGTCCATGTTCAGAGAGAGGTAGCTGAGGTGTTCCCATCTCGCCCCGTCAAGCCTTATCACTTACTTTCCATATCATCCATGTTCAGAGAGAGGTAGCTAAGGTGTGTTCCCATCTCCCCCCGTCAAGCCTTATCACTTACTTTCCATATCGTCCATGTTCAGTTGCTGCAGGTCATCAGGTAACCCTGACTCTGGCAAGAGCTGCGATCCAGGTCTCAGGTCTGGCTCCAGCAGTGTCTGTGGGGCCACACAGAGTGTGGGGTTTAGTTCCAGCTCTGTCCCCAGATCCAGCCCTGTGTTCAGCAGTGTCTGTAACTCCAGGTCCTGTTCTAACTCCATCGGTGACATGAGCTCCGCATTTAGCTCTAATGAATCCAGTTCCGGCTCCTGTTTAAGCTCCAGAGGCGGCTGCTGCTGCTCGTCCACATGTCTAGGTGTGCAAGGACAGACAACGGGGCAAGAC